TTGACTCGCACATTGCTGACTACATGGTTCGAGTCCCTGGACTCCATGACTTGAAAAATAGGACTTACTTGTAACCACATCACATAATTCATGCTGTTTGTGGGCTAGTCTCCTCCCACAGACTACAAATGAGAGAAAGTAAGACTATGTATATGCTTTTAGTGCATAAAATCCACAGTGAGAAACCCTGGAAAGACTGGAAATTAGATCATTTACTAAGGTCTAAGCTTTAAATTCTGACTCATTCTGGAGCAGAGATAGAAAAAGCCATTCTAAAGAAGCCAAATGTCAACCAGACAGATAAGACTAGACTTTAATCTGATTGATTGTGCAAACTAGTTAGAGAATTGAAGGGTAGAAGTAGTAGTGGTCAGCCATGGACCCATGAAAAAGGGAAATCCCAAATATACTTACTGGCAATGTCCAATTAAGTATGTCCATAGACAAAGAGAACCGGGAGTGGACTTCAGGTACTCTGACCTCATTAACAAAGCATTCTTCTGGAACCAGCAGATGGCACAATGGTTACATCTCAGGACCCCCACATAAGTCAACTGCAGTTCAAGTCCCAGACCCAGTGGCTTAAACTCACGCCGGGTGCATGTAGGTGTGTGCCCAAGATCCCAAGAGGAGAATGGAGGAAAAGGGATTGCAACAAAGCCATCCCCCGGGGGGGTGATTTCTAGCTTTCTCTCTCTCTCTGTCTCTTTCTGAGGAGCACACGCACCCTATAGCAAAACAACAACAAAAAACTTCTCAGTGGGAAGTGTGGTGGTTAAGGGCTCTAGATTCCCACATGGTAAACACAGTCTGGGTCCCAGACCTGGTGGCTTGCTTTCTTACTTTCCCTTTCTTTCTTTCTTTCTCTCTCTCATTCTGTTCCTCTCTGGTCAAATTAAAATAAATAAATAAATAAAGTTAAATAAAATAATTCTTTTTTTAAATTACTTATTTTAATTTTATTTATTAATTTGTTTATTTCAATTTGACTAGAGAGAGACAGAGAGAAAGTGAGAAAGCAAGCCACCAGGTCCAGGACTCGAACTGTGGTCAGCTATGTGGGTTTATCCAACATCTTAACCACCATGCCACCTGCTGGTCTCCCACCAAAAAGAAACTAAAACTCTCAAAAAAAAAAAAAAAAAAAAAAAGCAGCCTTCAGCTAGGACCGTGGTGCAGTGCTGGTGTGATGCTTAAGAGAAGCCAGATCTCATGTGGCAGCCATCGGTTGAATCTCCAGCTCAGTCAGCCTGAGACATGCTGGGCACATGCAAGAGGATCCAAAATCCAACAGGCTGGAGGACTGGAGGAAGGGGGTTTTGGCACAATAAGACCCATTGAAGGATGCCTGTCTCTCTCTTTCTCTCATGCTCAGGTACACATGCATGTGCTATATCATGAATAAAGGGAAAACATTTTAAACCAACCAAACAAATAAGCAAAAGCCCCAAAGCCAGGCTTAAAGGTGGCTTGGGTGAAAGCAATTGGTAGTTTCATGAACTTGCCATATCTTCACTATTTGGAAGACCATCCTCTTGAGAAATTTTCCATAGCTGCACCTTGTTATCTCAACCTGCTAGCTTAGAAGAGTTGTATTTTGAACTTTCTTCCCAATTCTGTTTACCAATCAATGTTCTGAGGTTGACTTGGCTTCCTATGTAGTTAACTTAGAGAATCAGTCACGTAGACTCTGAAGGTTGTGGTGCCTTTAGCACTCTAAGTAGTAAACTGACATTCTAATAGTATACATCGTAAACTTAGTCCATGGGCACTGCTCAGAGATGGACTTGTTCTTAGCAAACTGATAAAAGAAGTCTTCTAAACCTGTGAACCAAGCACTAAGCCTGTTCCATGGTAAGATTCTCTAGGATAATAAGTGCTGTCCTCTACAGCCTCTCAGTTGAAGTTACCCACCACCCATCCTGGTCCACACATTCTTTGAACACAACTGTGTTTTTGTACATAAAGTAGTGGAAGAAACAAGGGGTTTTGAAATCAGATGATGTGGGTTTGAATCCCAGTTTTGCTACTTTGTAATTGATATGTTGGAACAAGTTACCTAACCACTCTGTGCCTCAATTTTCTCATTTGTGAACTGGAGCTTATCTAGTGGGGTTGATGGGACGGATAATACATACAAGACACTTATTACAGTCACTGGAAAATAGTAGATGCTCAGTAAATACTTGTTACAGTGTTCACAAGTGAGAAGTGATTACTCTCAGGATTAGTGTGTATGTGTGTGTGTATATAGGACACATGCACTCAGAGAGAGAGAGACAGAAAAAGAGATCCAGAGAGAGAAAGTGAGAAAGCAAGCTGCCAAGTCCAGGTATCACATCATGGTCAACCATGTGGGAGTCTTGCCCCCTAACCACCACACCACCTACTGGCTCTTCCTCCTGCCTCTTAAGAAGCTTTATTCCCTTTCAAAGTAGGGCAGTACAACAAATTATAGTTTATCCTTGATGTATAGGTTCTACAGTGCTTAGTTAATAATACTGGGCATTAAATTTAGAAACAATGTAATAACATTTCTCAAAATGCACATTCAAGTATTACATTTGCTTCACTGTGCTTGTATCAAATCATGGCTCAAAAACTTGCAGTCTTTTACATAATAAATATATGTATATAAGGGGTCTTCAAAAATTTAATGGAAAATACATATTAGGAAAAAACTATGCATGATTTAAGTATTTTTTTTGTACCAAAATAACTCACACAGGGACCACAGGCAGCATGGTGGTTAAGGCACTGTACTCCCACATGGTGGACCACAGCTTGAGTCCTGGGCCCAGTGGCTTGAAAATCATGCTGGGTAAGTGTTAATGTGTGTCCAAAATCCTGAGAGGAGAATGGTGGCAGAGAAGGGATTGTAACATGGCCGTCCTCTTTTGGGGGATAGTTTTTTTTCCCCCCTTTCTCTGTCTCTCTCTCTCCAGTGAGAGCATGCACCCTATGACAAAAACATTTAAAAAATTAAATTAAAAACTAATACTTTAATTCTTTTTTTCCCACAAACCTTTTGAAGTCCCCTCATAATTTGTCCTCCATTGCACAGGCCATAGATGATATTTGTGTAGCTTATTATAATCTACTATTGTGTTTCATAGAATTCTGGAGTCTGGTTTTCAAAAATTCAATTAAGATGTTCTATATCTAATTACTAACCCATTTTGTTGTCCATTGCTCAGTCTTCCAATAATCAATAACCATGCTCTCTTGAAGATTAATTTGATCAAAAAGCAGTCTGTGAGTAGTGCAAGTTTCCAATTTGCTTAAGATGATCATCCTTAGGACTATCTGATTAATCATTTCCTATTGTGTACTCTTGGACTTGAAATTATTTGCTATCTTTTTTTTTTTTTTTTTTTTAAAAAGACAGGGTCTCACTATGTTGCAATCTCTTCCTTCTGCCTCCCTAATTCCTGTGACTACAAAGTTCACCACCGCAAAAACATTCAGGTTGGGCTGGGAATAGAATCCAGGTCTCTGATGTAGCCTTGGTCTATGACACTGGTTGGTCCTGCAATCCCTTTTCAAGGACAAAACTTTATTATCTTTCTTGGGTTTGTCTTCTTTACCTTTCAACACATTCTAATATGACAAGAATTTTAATCCTCTTTCCTCACCCTAAATACTGTTGATTGAAATCAGGCAAAGTCTTTCTACTCATATTTATCATTTAGTTATTTTATATGAGAACGAGATAAACATTGATTCTGGAACAGAAAGAATGTCATGGGCAATACCATGGTGTGATCATCATTATTGAGTGGTGCTCTCATCCCAAGGAACTTGTGCCACTATTCCTCATTTCCCTCTTGTTTTATCTCTTGGTAGCTGAGCTGAGACTGTCCTTACTAGGTTAGCATCTACAGATAATAAACTTCACCGTAACAGTGGTGTGTGAAGCACAGCATTATCAATGATCCCCTTATCGACAGTGTTGGGGGTGGTAAGGGAATCGAGGTGGGGAACATACATACAATTCTGGACCTCCCCAGTAGGCCTTCACTAGAGCTAAGTATTATGGCTTCTCTCTCTGACCAGGAGATGGGCAGTCTACTATAAGGCCTTGGCTGTCCTCCTCTGGATTCCTCAAATAGTGTTTCAGTGATTTTCTCTAGCTTGTATTGGACTCCCTGTGCTGAGAATTAGGCCCCTTTTTCTTCTTTGGCACCTACCACATAGTAAACTCAGAAGATGTGATGGGGGGACCAGATTCCCTTACTTAGAGTGCGTGGCCTAGCAAAAATCCCTGAATTCAGGATTCACTTCCATTCTCAGGCAAGGCCTTGTATCCTCCTTACTGATGCCTAACCCGTAAATTATCTTGACTTAGGTTTAGTTAAGGAAAATGCTCTCAATGGCAGTTTCTTTAAAAGTCAAGGGAATTTTGAATAGAGGGGAAAACACTGGGTATTTTAAAATCTGATGTCTACAACATTTACAACTCTATACATTCTGAGTGAAGTAGTCCGCCACTTTGTAATCCAGTCTCATTTTGTGGCTCTGGAGACTAGAAAACGTTAAAATTGAACTCAAATCAAATATTTCAGTAATCTTACAGGTGAAGCCTAGCTCTGGTTGCTAGGTAACCTGACAGACTCTCCAGCAGGGACCAACTCACCTCCCACACTTGACCATCTCTCCTCAGTGGTGGGACGCGGAGTCCCCATTGGCCCCCATCTCCTCTCACTCAGCTCCAATTGGCCGAAGAACCTCTCACTCCGTCCCCGTTGGCTCTCGCCGTCTCTCCCAGCTCTGTCATTGGCAAGAGGGCTCTCGGGCCACCCGACGTCACTCTCTCACCCCACTTCCTCGGCCTTCCAACTTTGTCCCGCCCCTTCCCCCGCCCTTCCAGCCGTCAGGGAAAACCTTAGCGAGTTACCGCCTCTAGTTGCTTCCTGATTGGTAGAAACTGAGCTGAGGGGCGGGCGCTATGGTGGTATTCGGCCGGCCGCGATTGGCTCCTGGAGCTACTGTCCCGCCTCCCACCGACTCCCGGCGGTGCCGGAATCGGGTGGGTAGGCGGCTATAAAGCTGGTGGCAGAGGGGAGGTGCCGCGTACTGCCTTTTCGCGGTTCGTACTCCTTTCTCCTGTCATCACCCGGTCACGTTTGGGTAAGTGCCCTGCGCCGGGGAGGAGAGCAGTGCTGCCGAGGCGCAGCGGGTGGTGTGCGTGCCGGGCGGAGGCAACGTCCTTGACTAGGCCCGAAGGAGCTCGAGCTCCGAGTCAAGCTGCGGCTGGGGAAGATGGGGCGCCGGGAGTGGGAGCTGCAGGGGGTTTCCCTGGCCGAGGACCTGCGGCAGACCAGCCAGTCTGCGGAGGGGCCGAAGACACTGGTGTGGGCATGCGGGTCACAGAGGGCAGAGGCTAAAGGGCGATGATGGCCAGCTGTTCTCATGACACAGTCAGGAGCTGGAGGTCCCAGGGAGGTGGCTGTGACCGCGGGGTAGGCGTTGAGGGCGCGTCAGGCATGAAAGAGAAGGGAGCGGGGCTGCCAGGGCGTTCCCAGAACCTTGGATAAGGGTGGGAAATGCCAGAGGATGAGGAAGATGAGGCTTAGGAGGAGGCTGATAGGGGGTGTGTCCCCTTGCTGCCACTTAGAATTGATGGAAGCAGAAATGAGCAGCGTCACTTTTGTCCCCTCGCACGAGGGCAGGAAAGCATCACTGCTGCAGTGTAGCCCTGGCTGAACACCGGGTCTTTGGGCAACTTCCTCTGTGCTTGCTTCGGATCTGGGAGTGCCACCTGTGAGGAATACTGGAAGTTTTGTTCAAAAAACACAAACTGCAGCCTGAGGGTGACCCAGTGTGTGTGTGTGTGTGTGTGTGTGTGTGTGTGTGTGTGTGTGTGAAAGGAGGAAAAAATGTTTAAAAAATGGGTTTCCTTAGTGTTCTGAAATCGCGCGCCACCTTCCTGCTAATAGCTTTGAGACCAGCCAGACGTGGTAATAGTGTTGTAATGGACAGACACGCACAGAGCCTTCACACAATGTCATGGACATTTCAAAATTACTTGTATGGAATCTTTGAAAACATTCCAGTCTTAACCAATAATAGAGGAAGGATTATTCTGACTCACTCCGAAAGAGGGATTTGGGAACAGGTAAAGTGAGGTTCTCCCTGCTTGTCGTGCTTGCCACTCCGTCCTTGGCTTAGGGCCTCATGAGCTTCTTTCATTGCCCACCGCTGCAGCGGCCTGCTTTGATAGGATGAAGGGTTCTGGTTGCTACTAGCATTTGCTTTATTTCATGGGTGAATCATGAAAAACGACAGCAAGAACAAAATTGAGACAATTAGAAGTTCTCGTAGAGTTAACACATTTTCCTGTGAGATGGGTTTTGGACTCATTGCACAGATTTATCAGCTTAAATATCCTTAACATGTGTCAGTGGTTCTTTGCATCTTGTGACATCTGTGCAGGTTTTTTTTTTTTTTTTTAAGTTTATTTACTCTGTGAACAAGCAAACAAGTTAACACATTTTCCTGTGAGATGGGTTTTGGACTCATTGCACAGATTTATCAGCTTAAATATCCTTAACATGTGTCAGTGGTTCTTTGCATCTTGTGACATCTGTGCAGGTTTTTTTTTTTTTTTTTTAAGTTTATTTACTCTGTGAACAAGACAACACCCTCAACAGTGTCTCAACATGGTGATCCACCCCCAGCCTCAGTGAGCTACAGATCTTGTGCATGAATGTGTTAGGAGTTCCCAGGGAGGTCTCTAGAGCAACTCTGTAACCTTCCCGTGTGGGTCCACCTCACAGAGTGTGCTCCATTTTCCTTCTGCACCACACTCTGGCCCCAGTTTTGGTTTTTGTTCACAATTTTTATAAATTCCAGTTATTTTTTGTGGAGAAGTGACAACAGGATAGCATATCTTATGGGAGGAAAAAAATGCTTTTTTTCTTTATAGATATCTCACTCCTAAATTTGTAAGTTTTCCCTCTATTTCAATTCTAGTTTACTTCAGTTCAATTCTATTATAGTCAGTAGACTATAATAGTTTTCAGAAGGTATGTCTCACACTCTTGTTTATTTTTTTTAACTGTGGGATTGATGTGAGATATTATTTATTATTTATTTCTTTCATGAGAGTGAGAGAGGAGATTTTGTTACCTAGAGAGCTTTTCACAGAAAAAAATGTGAAGTCCCCAGATATTAATGTAACATGGGTTTCCTGGGTCCTGTAGTATGATTTAAAAACTGACTGGATCAGCCACAATTTAGTTGAATGGATATGAGGAGGTGTGGTTTGAAGAACTTGATGGACCGTATATCAACATCCAATTATTTTATGTAGAAATCAGTATAGTCTTAAACTTTATTTATTTTTAGATTTTTTTTTTTTCTATAGAGGCATGTGCTTGCCACAGAGAGACAGAGGGAAAGTGAGAAATCACCTCCCTCCTCCCCAGGGGATGAGCAAACCATAATCCTTTCTCCATTCTCCTCTCGGAACTTTGGGCATGCACATGCACCCAGTTTGATTTTCAGGCTGCCAAGTCCAGAACTTGAACCGCGGAGTCAGCCATGTTGTATCTATTTCCTTAGCCACCACATAATCTTGCTGGCCCTAGTCTTACAATTTTATGTTCTGTTACTATAAAACCAAATGCAGAAAGATGTGATATTTTTGTGGCTTGAGAAGGCAGTATAGATCACAAAGTTTGAGAAACATGTTACCTAACCTAATGGGAGGGTGGACTAGATTCTTAATCTGTTCATTCTCATGCTTGGCATGTATTGATACTCACTTGATATCTTTCAAGTGATTAGTTCCAGTAGAGGAGAACTTAATCTCTCAAAGGTCACAGACTTCATCTTTGCAGGGCTTGTGGTTGCATGTGGGTGCAAAAGGAATGATTATAAGACTAACCACTATGATTTTCTGATTCCATTTGGTCTCCCTACATTATTTACCTTGGGATCTGTAAACAATTGAAGACTACCATTTGCTTTGAATGATAGCAACAGATAGTCAATTTTCTTAAACCTCTAGACATTATTTGTTCATTCTCAAAAGTAATACCAAAAAAAAACCCCGATAACTTCAGGTGAGGGGGGCAGCCAATGGTGTGGTGGTTATGGCAGCTGGATCCCACATGGCCCACTACGTGATTTGAGTACCAGACCTGGGAGCTTGAAACACATATAGGGCGTGTGTGCTTGTGTGCCCAAAATCCTGAGAAGAGAAGGAAGAAGAATGGAGGAGGATTGCAACATTGCCATCTTCTCTTGGGGGTTGATTTATTTCTCACTTTCCTCTCTCTCTCTTTCTCTCTGAGCACATGTGCCCTATAGCAAATTGAACAGACAAACAAAACTTCTGGTGAGGGCTGCTATAAGAACTTACATGTATGTTGGGGCTGGCAGGTGGCATGGTGGTTAAGGGTGCTGGACTCCCACATGGCTGACCATAGTTTGAGTCCTGGACCTGGTGGCTTGCTTTCTCACTTTCTCTCTCTCTTGTTCTCTTGCTCTGTCCGTCTTTGGTCAAATTAAAATACAGAAATAAGAGTTAAATAAAATAATTCTTAAAGAATAAAAAAAGAACTTACATGTATAAGTTTTTTTCTCTAGTTGCATGTATGTGTGTTTTTTAGAGGTTTTTGTCTTAGGACACATGAGCTTGCCAGAGAGAGAAACAGAGATGGTGAGAGGGGAAGTAAGAAATCATTACCCAGGGGGGATGACCATGCCATAATCCCTTCTCCTCCACTCTCCTGGGATCTTGGACATGTACACAAATGCACCTGGCATGTGTTTCAAGCCACTGGGTCTGGGACTTGAACTGTGGTAGGCTATGTGGGACTCTAGCAACATAACCGCTTCGCCATCTGCTGGTCCCTCTAGTTGTTTTAGCATCAGATTCAGACACTCAAAAAATGGTCATTGGATACCCTTTACTCCAAGATTTGAAAGGGATTCCAAAATAATCAGCATATAGCCCCTGTCCCAATAGGAGTCTAGTAGTCCAGGATGGATAAGAAGACCAACCATAACTAGTTTTCCATAGAGCATAGGCTGTGAAGAGTTGGGTATGAATGACATACTTGTATAAGTCTCTGTGGTGTTTAATTCTCAGAGGACAAAAGCATAATTTGAGATAATAAAGAACAAAGGTTATTTACTCGAAAGTACATGTCTAACGCTATAATCAGAGAGACTATTTGGATTGTAGTAGTTTACAAAACCCAAGATTTTTTTTTTCAAGGTAAACTTGAAGTAAAAGGAACTAAGGCTATGAATAGTTCTCAAGTGATCTAATTTTGTAGAAGAAGTAAAACTTTACTAAATAGTATCTGGATGTAGTTTCCAGTTAATCAGGCAAGTATAAATGCTAAATTTGCCAATTAAATTGAGAACAAAGGAAGTGTGTTTGCAATAAACATAGAAGCTACTGTGTGAAGTAACAGCCTGTGATATTTGTTCATGATAGAAGTGAGGTGTGGGGAAGGGAGGAGGCACCCTTTATAAGGCCTGGTCATAGTACCATCTCCTTCCTCTACTCCTTCAGCTCCCCAGGATCCCAGATATGCATGCCTGCGCTTGCATGTTTTAAGCCAACCAAGTTGGGGTTTTTGAACCACCATCTGCTAGTGGCATGTAGCAATTTCAGTCAGTCAGTCACCTACTCTACTATGAGGCCAGGGCTAACTGCTTTTTAACTGAAGCACTGAGGGGGAAAATCACTTTCTAAAAGGTTGGAGAGGGTAAAGATGGCAGCATTGAAAAATATGAACATAAGATTAATTAAATGAAAAGAATTAGGTCTTTCAAGATACCTTTATTGTGTTGGAAAAATACAAATAATACATATAATAATGATCAATCTCTTTGGTGCTTTATATTAACAGAGCTTTTTTTCACATATTTTATCTTCTCTACAATCTTTTACAATGAGCTGGGAAGGACAGATATTTTAGCTTCATTTTGCAGATGAGGAAATCGAGACCCAAAGTAACACAAATTGCTGCTTAAACCATAAGTTCATAAGTACAGAGCAAGCTTTTGAATATGTAGTATCTTTACTTTGCTAGCCCAGAACAACTTATTTGTATTTCTTCTTCCAAATTCTTGAAAACACAAATTTAGTAAAGAAAACTGCAACTTTCCTAGCATCACACTTGATTTATAGCCTGAATTGGTAGTAAGAGCTTATTTTAATTCATGACCAGAACTGAACTACCACTCACTGTAAGGGCTAATAAGAAGGGGACAGTTTATAAGCTTGGGCCAGCTGGTGATGTGGTAGTTAGTGTGTCTGGATTCCACTTGGCCAATAGCATGGTTTAAGTCCCAGATTCAGCCACTTGAAAAACACACCAGGAGTATGTGCTTATGTGCCCAAAATCCTGAAAGGAGGGAGAAATGGAGGAGAAAGGATTGCTGTGTGACTGTCCCCCATCAAGGATGCTTTCTCACTTTCTGTCTCTAGTGAGCACGTGTACCCTCTGGCAAACTAAAAAAAAAAAAAAAAGATTATAAGCTTTAAGCATCATTTTTGTTCTAAGAAAGTGTCAGATTCTGTTCTATATAATGTAATTAAATAAGGAAATGTTTATTTAATTCACTTTGAATTGGAGTCCTGTTATTTGAAGTTGTAATTTATGACTTTAAAAGTTCTTATTTGAAATTCCTAGTGCCCGAAGGAGGAAACAGTGACAGACCTGGAGACTGCAGTTCTCTGTCCTTCACACAGGTATGGCATCCTGTCATGATGCTTAAGGAAAGTGTTCCTTTCTAATGGAAGAGGGTAATTTAATTTTTATTCTAGAGAAAATAATCATTTATATGTGACGTACAGTCTTAAAACTCTTCAGGGTTAACATTACAAGTTGGTTGATGCCATAATGCATCAAAAGACTAATATTGTGTTTAATAAGCTAATGTTTAAAATCAAGAAACTAAAAAAACTAGTCATTGCTTTTAAAGGAAAAAACACAGGTAATAAAACATATTAAATAGTATAAACGACTTAATCAGAGAAAAATCACAGTTAAGCATGTCTGCCATTAAATTATAGCCTGGGGACTGGCAGGTGGCATGGTGGTTGGGGGAGCTGGACTCCCACATGGCTGACCGCAGTTAGAGACCTGAGCCTGGCAGCTTGCTTTCTCACCTTCCACTTCTCTCTCTGTCCCTATCTGGTCAAATTTTTAAAATGAAATAAATAAAGTTAAATAAAATAATTCTTTTAAAAAGAAATAAAATAAATTATAGCCTCAAAATATATATATCTGGACTGTGGGTAGTGTTTAAAATTATGTGAGAATGGACAGTAAATGCAAATGTTTTTGAACCAATAATTAATTATTTCCATCTTTGCTTTCTTATACTGCCATGGAGTGCCTGCCTCTCTTATAAGTCTGCTTTTTTTTTTTCCTGTATTTTACTGTTATGATTTTTCTATGATTGTTACTAATTTTAGATTAGAAGGCTAGTAGGATTTCATTTACTCAACATTCAGCATCTATAATATGCAAACAATGGGCTGTGCACCAGGGACACAACGATGAACAAAGTACATTCCTGCACTCCAAAAGCTTCTCCTCTAGTGCAAAAGGGCTGAAGCAAAACAATAGAGGGGGAAATTAGAAGAATTTGAAATAGCATCTTGACAGATATCAGGCATGCATTTTAGAAAGATACTCATTGACTAGGACAGGGGAGAGAGTGAAGATAGAGAGCTCAGAAGGCTGGCATAACAGTCCAGGCATCCCTTTCCGAAGTCCCTCTTCACACAGTCACTGAGATAGATGTGGACTTGCCTTGCCCCATATCCTCAGCTGATTACCCTGAGTGCCCTCCACTTCCCCCTTTTTGGTTCTCTTTCATTCACAGATTTATTCTTGGGATTATATTGGCCCTTTCTGTGACCTAGGCAGGAAGCACTCAGAAAGCATTTGGAAATAGGACATGGATCTCTTTTTGCCCACCAGAGGGGCTGGCTGAGCCAGCTCGTTAGTGTGAAGACTTGAGTCCTTTATTGGTACTTTCTTGTTAGAAGATTTGGAAGTTCTGGTGGGAAAAGTGTTACTTTCCCTCCTTTTAAAATATGGAATATAAGAATAAAATTTATTTATTTCATAAACACTAACTCTTTCTTATTTTGGTTAGATTTTAATCGTAAATAAAATAATCTAAAAAATAAGACACCTTGGGACCAGCAGTTAGCATAATGGCTATGTCGCTGGACTCCCATGTAGTCAACTGCAGTTTGAGTCCCGGACCCGGTGGTTTAAACACATGCCGGGAGCGTGTGTGTGCGTGCCCAAGATCCTGAGAGGAGAATGGAGGGGAAGGGATTGCAGCATGGCCATCCCCCCGGGGGGTGATTTCTCGCTTTATGTCTCTCTGTCTCTGTCTTCCTGGCGAGCACACGCACCCTATAGTAAAAACCTCTCCAAAAAATAAATAATAAATAAAAAATAAGACACCTTATCAGCAAAAGATGAAAAGTAGATGTGAGTAGTTTAACTGTTACAGTTTTTAAAAAGTATTTTTTTATTTTAAAAGAGCTCTTATCTTTTTTTAATCTTATTTATCCATTTATTTATTTTAATTCGACCAGAGAGGGACAGAGTGAGAAAGAAAGTGAGAAAGCACGCCACTAAGTCCAGGACTCGAACCATGGTCAGCCATGTGGGAGTCCAAGCGCCCTTCACCACCACACCAACTGCCAGCCCCTAAAAATGCATTCTAATTTGATAATTTTTGTGATCCCTCCTCCTTTTTTTGTTTTTTGGGTTTTTTTGGCATAGTGAATTAACCAGAATAACTCATTCTCCGGCAGAATATATGGTTAACACTGGCTAGTCTTTTTGTTTCCTAATTTCTGTCTGGCCTACTTCAGGGAATGTTTGCAAGCACACACCTACAAAAATAGTTTAAAGAAACACTTTAAACCAGAAACTCGATCAACTTTCTGTTCTTCTAAATGCCATGGAAACAATTACTTCCTTGTATTATTTTGCTATCAGAACTCTCAGAGAACAAGTAATATTGACAGTATTAGAGAATGTAAAAAATTTTCCACATCAAGGTCTGAGTCATGATTCACTTTCAGGTTGATGTATGTGGGTTTAGTTAACCTACATTTTTTATTTGTTTTTAAATGAAGCAAGTCACTTATTTAACCTCTGGAAGGTACTGTAATGCAAAGGGATCAGAGCTGGTCAGATTATGGCAAATATGAATGAATTTTGGAATTGAAGCTAGTATTATAGCTTTTTATAGAGAATTGTACAAGCACTGTAAGAACGATTTAACATTTAACCTGTGTTGCTACTTTATGCTCTTAAAAAGGCTTGACTGAATTTATTAGTGGGAAACTATTTACAGATTGATTTCATACCTTCGAAAAGATTTTATGTATTGACCATTTTATTTTCTAGAGCATTACAACTATTGGACCAGACAAGGAAAATCACACTGTCATTAGCATATTTAGAGTAGTTTGAAGGGTTGAAAAGAATCAAGAGAATAACCTTGTGGGAAGGTAGTTATTCTCCTGCCTCTGCTTTGTTGATACAGGGGGTTAGTATATTGGAGGGGTACACCTATATGGTCTGCTTTTTTTTTTTTCCTTTACCACTAAATAGAGCTTTCCTGTAGACTATACAAAAGATTTTTATCATATTTTACTCTAAACTTAGACTCTATGCTTAATGACATTAGTCCCTTTATGTCTTCATTTCATCAGTGTAGCAAAGTGGGAGCTAAATTTTGATCATCATAAAAGTGGTAGGAATAATTTCTGATGAGCCTCAAAGAGAGCAGAGATATTGACTACTTCCAGTGCCTCACATCCAGAAAATCAGTAGTCTTCTATTTCCATTGACTTGAGACACAGAAAGGGAGTTAAAGATGAAGGGGGTAGGGATATAAGAGCCTTTAGCTTTACTTTTTCAGCTTTAGGACTTTAGTAGCTTTTATAGAATGAGCCTCTCTTAGTCTCTTTTTATGCTCCTGTCCCTGAATGTTGGCGATGGCATTGTTTTTCCTATATTAAGTACAGAACTATGGTCAGTAATTTTGGTGTTAAGAGGATGTAATTGGCAAATAATAGTTGTGTTTAGGAATTTTTTTTTTTTTGGCCCACAGTGGAATTAGGTAGTAGTAGCACCGTACTATGCTTGGTAAAATGAAGCTTACAAAAGTCTAAGACCTGAGAAGACTACAAGAAGTTTAGACTTTGTTGAAGTGACAGGACTATGTTACTATTCCTGGGTGCCATATCAAAATACTGTAGACTAGGTGATTTAAACATTTATTTTCTCACTGTGCTGGGGACTGAAGGTCAGGGAGCAAGAGTAGTCAGACTCTTGTAGAGGGTTTTCTTCCTGGCTTGCATATGACTGCCTTCTTGCTGTCTCCTGGCATGGCAGACAGAGAACATGCACATGCTCCTGATATCTTACAAGGTTGCTAATCCCATCATGAGGACTCCAACCCCCATGACCTCTAAACCTAATTATCTCTCAAAAACCCTATCTCCAAATGCCATCACTCTGAAGGTTAAGGCTTTAAAATGATGAATTTTAAGAGAGTACAAACCAATCCACAGTCAGACAGATATTTGCAAAGTGAAACCGTAGAAGCACTGAATGTTGCACTTCTTACTTTCTAGAGAAACTAGGATGCAATAAATTTAAGATGCTATCATTGCCAATTAATTAGCAGTGCTATGTTTGATTACTTAAATTGTTTATCTATACTTAGACATAGATTTTTATCAAACTAAATAAATGCACATTTTTCTTGCACATTATATAAAAAAGAAAATACAAGTAAAAAACACATTAAAGAATTGATCAATTTTCCATACTTAGTGTTTGCCTCTTCTGAATTATTTTTGACTCAAGTTGTTAGATATCTGTAATTTTCCATATAATATTCTCTGTGCCGATGCAGGAACGTGGGGTACAGAGAAGACTAGACCCAGTACTCACAGTGAGACGCCATCAAGAGTACTGATGGATATAGCATTCCTTTGAAGAGTCCATAGTGCTCCCTTTGGCAGCACATATACTAAATTGTCCATAAAAGGATGAAAAGATTTTGGATTGCCAAGCTTTGGCTTTTGACTCCTGCATAGGGATTCACCATCTTTAACTCCCTCCTCAGGTCACTTGGTTCCAAGGAGTGAAGAGTGCTCCAGTATTGTTTCTGGGAATTTCTTTCAGGCTGTTGACTGTTGCCTGCAAGTGCTGGTGCTGGCAATCTTGGTGTTTGTGCATGGGTAGTAATGACAGCATCATAACTGCCCTTTATCTAATAGCAATTGTAGGAGGAATCCTGATTTCAGAAATGTTTAAAAAAATTTTTAAAGTTTGACTTTTTTTAATTGCCAGAGAGCACATGCACTTGACAGAGAGAGAATCCATCTATGGGGTATGATCACACTGCAATCCCTTCTCCATTTCTTTATCTTCAGGATTTGGGGCATCCACGTACATGCTCCTGGTGTGTTTTTCAGACCACCAGCGTTGAGATTTTGAACTGCTGTTGGCCATGTGGGATCTGGCTCCTTTAACCCTAGGCAATGGGTGTGACTTAATTGATGAAATATGATAATATAGAAGAGAAGTAATAAATGCCAAAGGTCATTTGTCTAATGGGTGGTTTTGTAAATTTGAAAGAGGTTAATAAGAACCCTTTCTAGTTGATCAGTTTAGGAAGGTTTTGTGGGTTAAATGT